TGAGTGCCCATACTGGTTATACTAACTTATACTGTGGTACCCCTGCATGAGGGTTCTGAGCAGCACACATACATATGTGGACAAAGTCAACCTTCGCTCTTATCGATTGTGCTCAATACCGGCAGATAGCGCTTCATCCCGCGGCAGATTGCGCACATGGCTCTGAGCCACGATAACGTGTGGTCTGATGGGGCTGACTGGGCTGTCAGGCGGGGAAGGGAAGAGAAACAGAGGCGAGCTCGTCTCGTCGATAATGCAAGTTGACTCGATTCTACGCGGTCTGACATTCGTATTCGCGATTCTCAAACGAATATTCACGTATTTATGACTGCATGCTACGGCATTGTACCTGCACGCATCTCGAGCTGCGCGCACCTCGTCGCTCGATCACGCGACGTCTCGCGAGAGATCGACATCCACCGCGCCGGAGCGCCGCGGGCGCTCGCTGTGCACGCGTTTCGCGACGCTGCGATGCAAAACATTGTGACGACGGGGCACCGCGCGTTGTCGTTTTCCACGGACGCGTGTCACCACGCCGTGACATGTAAGTACTCGATTTAGCCCGCCGAGGAGAAGAGGACGAAGGGTCCGCCGAGACTTGTGACACGTTTGTCATCTCCGGCGTTCCGCGTTCTCATCTTTGCCAGGTCTGCATTTTGCTCAGATGTTATCATTGATAAATGAGATTGCAGACGTTTATCTTGGCATTAAACTGAGAGCCTCATATCGGACAAACAAAGCTCCATTTAGCCGTCAAGAATATCACCTCAAGTGCCTGGTTGGCATCGTTACATCAACATATTTTTTCAGGTGCGTAATTGCGGATTTTTGCGTGTACCGAGGAGGTGTCAATGGTGATCCTTATGCCTTGTGAGGACTACGGCAGTTTAGTGAACAACAGTTTCAACGATGGATTATGAGTACATGCCCTTTCACAGGGAGAAAGACTTTCATAATAGATGTTGCGGTGGGAAGCTCTGGTGTATCAAGGCAAAGTCTTACAAACACTTGATTTTTTTCTGCTTCTCTATGGATGACCTTGATCAACTTGATCAACAATTAACTCGTCAGGCAATGCTGTTTTGTTAACATGGAACAGTTCGATCTTTCATTTTTTTTAATACTTGGAAAAAGGAAGATTAACCCTTAAACCACACACTATATATTTGAGACATACGCTACACATGGGGTCAATATGACCCCCGCTAGTTTAAACAACTGCAATGATACTATTCATTTTTTGATGTAAAAAATTAGACATGTTATATTAACATTAACAAGTAGGATAAGCTCGGTTCGAGCCATAAATAATGATTGCAATAATTTAAAAAGATTAAAATGTAGAAAGAAGCTCAGAAAATGCCGTTTTTTTACTTAAAATTCAATAACTTTTTCATTTTTTAATATTTTAACCTAAAAATTTAACTGGATACTCTTGAAACAATGTTCTTTAAGATAAAAATAATTGCAATGGTGCACATTCCAAAAAAGGTATTTACTTTGACAACCAAAGATGTGATATTTCGGAAAAATTGAAGGCACATTTTTACTGGTCATTGCAATAAAAATTAATTATATTATTCGTCTTTTGCGTGTAAAATGTCTTTTTTTTGCAAAATATATGATAAAGGTTGAATACATTATTTCAATACAGCATCTGGCGTATGCTCCGAGTTCTCAAATTATACGCCATCTAAAGTATTGTAATTTATGTTATAACTAATTTTAAAAAATCACACGGTATTTAAATTAATACTTACACTTTTCTAGTTGAAATGCAGTAAAATTGAACAAAAAATAATTATGAAAAAAAATTCCTCCCAATATTCGTACACTACACATGGGGTCAGATTGACCCCAGCGTTTTGAAGCGTCTACTTTGAACGGCTGTCACCAGTCAACTAGCACCTTGGGACCCACAACTAATGTGTAGTCTTAAAAAGGAAGACTTCAACTAACAACAAATGGCGCCATAAGTCCCAACTTCACATTTTATATTTTAAACGCAAATTTTTGTTGGGGTCTCCTGGACCCCGGGTGTAGTTTAAGGGTTAAATGATAAACGATGAATTATGCAGCGTAAAATCTTGCTTTAGGTGATTCCGATTATTCCAATCGCCATTGAAATCAATCGGCGTCTGGCAAGGTCGTTCTGAAAGTTACATCGTCATTTTAATGTACAACCTAACGTAACTTTCTTTTATTTGTAGGATATATGTGGCATCATATGCGCAGTATTAACATGGTTACTAATAATCTACGCAGAGTTCGTAGTGATGGCGGTGATTCTTATTCCTACGATAAATACGTTATATTCCAGCTTAAACATGGCCATTTTCCAATCTCTAGCATTCCTGGCCTTTGCGTCGCATCTGAGAACCATGTTTACAGATCCGGTAAAACTGAGATAACGCTAAGATCTCATTTACTGCTACAGATGTGACACGTATTATGCGAGAGGTGGGTTAAACATTTCTTGTTAAATTGATATTTTGTTTTTACATAGGGCGCAGTACCGAAAGGGAATGCAACGAAGGAGATGATACAACAAATGGGATTTAGAGATGGACAGGTTATTTTTAAGTGTCCAAAATGTTGTTCTATTAAGCCTGACAGAGCTCATCATTGCTCGGTTTGCCAAAGGTGATTGAACAGTATCAAGCTTGTATTTGTAACGTAGCAGAGTGACACACTGAAATTACACTGTGCTGCAATTGCAGATGTATCAGGAAAATGGATCACCATTGTCCGTGGGTCAACAATTGCGTGGGGGAAAATAATCAAAAATACTTTGTACTTTTTACTGTGAGTATTTTGCAAAATATTGTATGTGCACGTATTACAATCGGACCTGTACGAAAAATGATGAAATTGATGATGCGTTCCTGAAATACATCGAAATACTTTGCGCAATAACGCTTGTGCTATTCTTTTAGTTTTATATAGCGGGCATATCACTGCAATCCCTGTTTCTATGTATACAACAATTTACCACGTGTGTCAGGCAAGAATGGAGGGAATGCTCCACGTTCAACCCACCGGCGACAGTGGTGCTACTGTTATTTCTAGCGTTCGAGGCACTCTTATTTGCCATTTTTACTGCTGTGATGTTAGGCACGCAATTGCAAGCTATTTGGAATGACGAAACTGTACGTATCGGCGCGAGAGAATGGTTATTTCTCGTGCGCATATAAAAAAATTACAGCTTGTATTTATTGAGACATGTATTACAGGGTATAGAACAACTTAAAAAGGAGGAGGCCAGATGGGTACGTAATAGCAGATGGAAATCGATTCAAGCGGTCTTTGGTAGATTTTCAATAGCTTGGTTTTCCCCCTTTACCTCACCTCCTAACGCAAAGACGAAATTAGATTCTTATCTGTATTCCGTTTGAATTATATTTTGATACGTATAACCATGACTTACATTATATACATATACATATAGAGGAATATTAAGTTATATAGATACGACCGATGTTCGATTAGTATACATAGGCTTGCTCTCAAAGTTGAGACATTTTAAAACTCTTCTTTTGAGCGAAGAGAAATGATACAAGAGAATTTCTAAGATTGTCCTATAACGTATGGATATAGGACAATTTAATTTATATTCAGAATCTTGTACAATCTTGCGTAATCAAATTTTATACATCGGTTTTCAAATTTTTGTTTATGAAAAAAATATATTTTGTGATAATGAAAGTATTGAAGGTTAATGGTTTGCAATATTTAAGATAATTATTATAATTATTCATACTTTTGTAAAGACTTTATTTATTATTATTATAATATCAATTTTCCAATACATATATCAGAGAGTTTTCATATATATAGTGTGTATAGCTAAATTCTTGCAATTGTAAGAGATAAGATGATAATGATAAGTGAGAACGAATATAGAATATATAAATATATATATAATACAAATATATTATTTATATACTATAATATTATGTAATACATTTATATATGTATATGTACGTGAATGTATATTTACATCTTTTTTTGTGGAATATTTGTAATTTTATACTGTTATCCAAATGTACGAATTTTTTGCTAAGACAGTGTTAAATTAGGAAAGTACTTAAGAAGTGACAGTGTCAGGACCGAACTTACTTTTTCTGTATCTTTAGATGTGTATTGGAGTTCCCGAAAGCACGGTGAATTCGCAAAGTATTCTTTATATTTATCTCCTTATAATTCTTTAAGAATTCATAGAAGAATGCGGTAAAAATGATTGGGGAAGTTACACGCATCAAAATAAATTTCTGAGGAATACTTCAAGACGAACTGATTGTGGCTAATTCTTCATGAATTTTTCCGATATTAATATTTCAATATCTGCAGGTATTCTTTAAAATGAATTCCTTTAAAATTAACTTACGTTCACCTTTGCGCTATCTGGGATACGTTGCATAAAGTTGAATTTTAGACCTATAATAAGACCACTGTATTTGGGAGAAAAAATTTTTTATGTTTATACAAATGCTTTATATTTCGTAAACAAAAAATAAGCGTATTTTAATACGTTGCAAAATTTGGCTTTAAAGTGATGTGTCTTCATATGATAAAGTTAATTTTATTTAAAGTGATAAGATTGCAAAATATACTATTTTTTTTAAATACATTGAATTTTAATAGCATCATCCAGTGCGAAAAATTTGCTTGTACTGGCAGCATTGAGTGTTTGAAGCATATTTTATTCGTAGTATTTTAGCGTTTTCCAGTAAAAGATACAGTTGACACGGTGAATCGGTTCAATCTTGTTTAATTTTAGCTAACAACAAATATTAATAACGACTAATGCTACCAATAAAATATGTTTCGAGCGCACTCAGTACTTGTCAGTACAAGCGAGTTTTTCCCAATGAAAGACACTGAATTTGAATCGATAGATAATAGTGTAGGTAAACTCGGCTCTGGTAACTATCTTGATATTTATTTTTTCAAAAAAATGTAACATCTCTTTAAAGACAAATCGCAGACGAAAAGACAGTTCTGACGGAGGCAAATGTAATTCACACAAATATCATGACGATTGTACATTTTAATGATGAATAGAAATAGTTCTTTGATATTTTTATTGTCTATTCTGAAATTGGATTATATTTTATATTTATATAAATACAAACATATTTGGTCTGCCACACACATACACACATATGCAATGCAAAGTTCTAGAACGGTCAGTGATCTCAGAGATATTGAGTCAGTGATCTCAGACTTTTTGACTTGACTTCATCTCAAGAATGTGTTGTTACAACCCAATGAGAAATGATTCGTCGATCGACGTCGAAATGATGTCGAATCGACGTCAATTCGACAGTGTCGATGTCGATTCGACGTCGTTTCGACGTCGATCGACGAATCATTTCTCACTGGGAATACCACAATTTTTGTGAACATTTATGTGTACACGGTGGCTACAATAAAACGTTATGAATTTTTTTTTTGAAAAGCATATTGTTTTTAGAGACAAATGTTTAAGGATGTATGTTACTTAAGTTAAAATAGAGGGAAAAAGCTGAAATTTTTACAGAAGTTGTGCATTCATATACCATGAAAACTGTGATAAATTTTGGATCAATTGACTGATTCGTTTTCAAGTTATTAATTTTTTAAAATTTTATGTGCGTTCCAGAAAACACGCTGTCCAAAATGGAAATATACCTTTTATAAGACGTCTTAATTATGATGTTACGTGTACAAGATGTCTTAATGATATCTGTAAAATGTCTTATATTCCGATTTTAAACAACATATTGTTTGGGGATTGACAGGTTATGAAACATTTTTCTGTCTATATGCAGATTATACATGTCAGATTTTTGTTTTTAGCAGTTGGATTCTCTCATGGCAAATTCCCAGCCAAAGTTTTTAACCGCTATTAAGAATATTTATAAATACTGTCAATAATTATAAAAAGAGGAAGTTATTTAAATCAGTAAAATTAACATCTTTGTTATAATATTTAATAATAGCCAGCCGTTAAAGTATGCATACAACCGATATATATATTGAATTTTTAAGATTACTGTATTTTTTGCTGGGAAGGTATACGTAATACATCCTTAAACAAAAGTTGTAGCATTTCAAGGAGGACATAAGATAGCGGAAATGATTTGACCATGCATAGTCGTTTGAAGGTCACGTAAAAGCCACCTTCATTTTTTAGAGCCCCCCTACATTTCATTGTATATTCTTGTAATCTCGAGGTAATCTACAAAAATATGCAAAGAAAACTAGGGGGTTCTATTTAAGAAATCGGAGGTAGCTTTCACTTAACCTTCAAACAACTGTCCAAGGTCAAATCATTGCCACCCTTTTATATCTCCCTTGAAGTACTACAGCTTGTGTTCGAAACGTTTTGCTCTAAAAACGAAACTTTTCAAGATAAAAATTCGTAACGCTCTATTAGCCACGTTATATATGAAAACTTCAAAAAAATGTTAAGATAATCAAATTAAAATGAGACTTTGTATTGTAGAAGCAGATTCTTGAGACGAAGTTGATAAAAGAAACAACGTTGCAATGTTTTCGTTTCATTTGCATATTTTGTAATTGTAAAAAAAACTAGCATTTTATGTCGCAAAGTCTTGTTCTCCAATTACATCGAATTATGACGTATTCGTAAGAAACAATAAAGATTGATCTTCAGGGATGAATTAAGAAGAGGGTGATTATATCTTTTACCAGTATCTACTCAAGTTTAACATTTAAGAAAAATAATATATGAATAAAATATGAAGAAAATAAAAAACCATTAATTTTCCTCGCTTTATGCTCCCGCAACGTGACATTCGCTGTTGAACGCGAGATACAAGAGGAATTTGCCTAGGCATGTATCGCGGATTAAAGCGTGAATTTCATCTTTTTAAAATTCTAGTCTTTCCATAATTAATTCACGCACTTCGCTCCTAACAACTACACGGTTTCATTTGAACTCACGAGAGCTCCGGCGATGTTCCCTTGTTAGTCGTGCGCTCGCAAACAAGATTTCCCTGCTTGACTTGGAAACGAGCGATCAGTCGCGCGGCGATACTACTGACCGCCATTAGGAAAAGGATCGTCGATGATTAGCATTTTAATTTGTAGCAGTGATTTCTCCATATCGCTTTCTATCCTCGCTCTCCACACGAAAGGTCTGGGTAAATATATTTTATATCACAAATGTAAGAAATTAAATCTCCCGGTCTGACAACAACCGCGCGTAATGCGATACGAAACGCACGAAGCGCGCGCCTAGAGTTGCAGCTCCATAAATTTATCTGTCTGCACGACTTTACTTTTGTAAAAGTAAAAGTTTGCATTAATAACGACGACTCGTTACAATATCTTCGGTCCTTTGATTACGATCCAATGTCACAATACTCTCGATTGAACCCGAGAAAATTTTTTTTATGCATAAATATGTATTAATATGTAGTATATAGTTATATATAATTTTATATAATTATAGATTAGCAATTTTTTCATACAAATTTGTAGAATTACATAGAATGATAAAGACTTGTATAGAAATGCACCAAAAACATGTATGGACATATTTGATATATAACTTTATATATAATAATTCTATATTTATACATGCTTGTGTATGAAGCATGTTTTATCGGGAATGTTTATTTTTATTTTTATCTGTTACTATCACTGATATTATAATATCTTCTTCAATATATAAAAATATGAATATATTAACTATTAAAAGATATTTAAAAAGTTTATATATTCAAGATTAAAATGTATTTTATTGTAATGTTATTTTAATTTATTAATACTGATTTTTCAAAAAATGTGTAATAATAATAATTATTATTATCGTTACATCGTTAAGTTGCAAGTACTTGGCGCGATTCATTCAGCGCTGAATATGGCTCGAATTGTTAAACGTTCAACTATTTGTAATGCGCGTGTGTGTTAACTGTATAGATAATGAGTCAAAATTATCATGATACTTTAATACACGAACAACTAGTGTAGTACTCACTCAAGCCCTTATTCTTATCGTATTTGTTCAATCGAACTAATCATTAGGTATTGTATCCGTGTTTCTTCGTTTCCAATGTTAAAATCGTTTTTGTCTCTGTCCGTTACTATTGTTGAGGTGATGTTCTTTAAACTTGGCGCTACATCCGGTAACTTCGTACCAGAAAGCTGTATCGTATCCTCTTAACCAGACCGGTATCTATATTGATCTTGTGATCCTTTTCGTCTCTTATTATATCATTATATTCCAATCAAAAGCGATCAAACGGAACTTTCTTTCCCCTGACAATCTCTTTTTGTTTCCAAACAAAAACTGGACGTCGTTCAGTGGCGGCGACGGTGTGTTAAAGTCATATACATTCAATTCTCTGCGTGCCGCCGTAAGACGAGCCGGCGGCAAAGAGGTGCCGTAGAAGTAAAGTGTGCGTAAAAAGCGCGATATATCGCACGGGGGGGAAAAACAGGAGATTTATCTCGCACGGTCGAGATACGCGCGTCCATCACGAGTTCGAAGCGCGCGCCGCTCTCCGATTGGCCAGTCGCCGATAGCGCGGCAAAAAACGAATGCGCGCGGCGTCGGCCGGGCGTTTTCCACTTTCATCGACTTCCGTTTTTGCGGACGGGGGATTACGGCGCGGTGGTTTCCATCTCGACGGAGCGCGGGACACCGACAAGGCCGCGAGCGAGGCGGATCGTCGATCGAAACCCCGCTTCTGTCACGAGCGCCACTGCCACCGTCATCGCGCTCGCTGTCGTTCGCTGGCTTTCACTTTTCCGGGCCTATACCACGGTGAGTCTCTCGAAGCTCTTCGCGCGTGCGATTTCCCATAGGAATTCGTTTGCGTCCACGACCCGCGGTTTCGGGACCTGGGACGGAATCCTAAGTTTGTAGATTTCACGTGCGCACAGTGCACTTTGATGTAGATGTATATAGATATAATGTATATATGTAGATATACGATGTACATAATGTACTTTTATAATGACGTTTGATACCCGAACATACACTGCCTTTTTAACTATTTTTTTAACGTTATCAAAATGATATATTCTAGGTAGTCATATAAAAGATTACAAAAGAAAGATACAAATAAATGTGTGCGCGTATTCGTGTGTGTATGTGTATGTGTGTATGTATGTGTGTGCCTAGTCCATATTGTTACTTTTCGTCTAGCCAAGCTTTTCTTCACGCTTTCCACTGAATTTTCAGCATATGATGCGAGTAATGACAGTATCATTTTCATTTCGAAACGTAGCTACTTCAGACATAAATCCGACTTTCCGTCCAAGAAATTGTTTAGTCCAAAACCGTAGGTAGTGAATCACGTTTCAATACATTTTAATTTCAATACCACTTTAATCTTGAGTAATATTTACCTCAGCTTGTGCTTATCTTTTTTATACATTTTTGCAAAAATTTCACGATTTTATAAATTATATAAACATTTTTATTCGGAAACGATGATATTGGAGTAATCGCTCACGTGTGTTTGTGTGCGTTAAACTTTGCTATTTAAAAAAAATTATTAAAAAATTAATAATTATATTCCTATAATTAAGTAGTTTAATAATTTTTTTTAAATAGCAAAGTTTAGCTCACACAAACGCACGCGAGCGATTACTCTAATATCATCGTCTTCGAATAAAATCTTTTTGAATAAAATTATTAATTTCATATTAATCAAAGAGTACAAATATTATTTGACAAGTTAATTGGATTAGCGATTACGTTAATTGGAGAGTTGGATCGATATATATTTAAGAATTTTCAAATATTTTCGCACATTGTTTAGAGTTTATAGATAGAATTTTATCGTGAACTATAGATCGTTCAGAGTAAATTTTAGGCACATACTTAATACCCGAATGGAGCTAACAATAATTCCAACAATAAGCCTGACGACATTTGTATTTTTATTAAAAAACTTTTTATCATTAAACATCGAGATTTAACCAAAGAGAATAGAGAGCCATCCGAAATCACCCGGCAAAACTGGTCCTTGCAACTGAGCTTTGCGAAAGGCACAGTCTTTTCTTATTTATTGAAGCAGTATGCGGCTCCGATCTTAAACGAAGATTGTTTTTTTAGAGTCGAGGAAATAAAAGGATCGTTTGATATCTCTGACAAAGAGCAATTGACCCACGTGCACCGCCTCCGAGACGTTTAATTCGCATCGTGGTTCGACGAGCCGTGCGCTTCGTCTCGTTACGCCTTGCTTAAACACTTTCGCTTTCGCGCTCCGCGGATCATCTCGTGATCCTAATCCGCGTGATTCCTAATTGGACACTGTGTAATCGCCGTTTTACGGCTATTTACTTACCGATGCCTTATCTCTCCGAGGCGAGGATCTTGCGGTATGTATAAATATTAAATTCTGCCCAGCGCGAGTACGTTCGAGATATATTTGGCGGCTCTCTTCGCGGAATAACAACTTTTCATCTCGTGTCCGAAGGAAAGCGACGAGAAACACGATTTTTCTCCCTCGTAATCCGCCTCGTGTTTTAGTATCGTTGATGCACAATTAAAATATTTAATTAGACGCACGATTAAGATACTAATAGTAAATTAAATAAACAATTAAAAGTTCGTGCAAATTGAAATTTTTTTGTTAATGCACAATTAAAATATTTAATTAGACGTACAATTAAGATACTAATAGTAAATTAAATAAACAATTAAAAGTTCGTGCAAATTAAAATACGGATTTCACGTATCACTTTTTATTTCGATCGAAAAGCACGTGTTGGTTGATTGTAATTGCTTTTACAGCTAACTCGGACGCGACTCGCCGTAAAGAGAGTTTAAGGAGGTTGGTTGCTCAAATAAAAATAAATTCAAATTTATAGAAAAAATATATATATTTAAAAAATATATATATGTAAAAAATGATAAGAATTTTATAAAAATAAGTGCAAATAATACTATACATATTTACGAAGAATTTTGACGAATACTGAAATGACTTGTCTACGTAGTTATGAAGAACATATATGTAAATATATTGTATATACATTATCAAAATTTTTCGTAAATATGTATAGAATTATTTGCACTTATTTTTATAAAATTCTTATCATTTTTAACACGCTTTCGAGAATTGAATTACAGATATCGTAATACTTTGCTATGTTGGCCACGTGCAATAGTATAACTTTAATAATTAATTATTCGACAACCATGCAGACAATCGTCTTAAACTTTTGCATGGCGGACAGATTCCCATAGAGAGAGAGAGACGAATATTTTCTATAAATTTGAATTTATTTTTGTCATCTTCATTTCAGCAACCGTCCTCCTTAACAGTAAGTCTAAGCGAGACACGTTGATGTTTTCACGGATGTTTCTTAGACTTGTTTTTTTTCACATTTTTGTATTGCTTTCGCGTGTTTCGAACGATTACCTGGAACAACAAGCAGTTGGCCGCACAACGAAAGGCATTTCGTTAACGGCCTGTTTCGCAATAGGTGAACGGTCAAGGTACGTGCACATACGTAACAGAGAATGGAGAGCGACCGTAAAAATGTGATTTTAGAGCGGGCGTACTGTGGAGATCCGCGTTCAAAATGATGCGCATCGCCATTTCGTTAGTACACGGCGTTCCAAACATACCGGAAATTTTTTTAAACAATTTTCTTCCCATTAAAAGTATGTAACAGGACCAATGAGGAGAGTTTTTCACGTTCTTCTCGATAGAGAATTCCCCTGATCAACTTGGAGCCCGTCTTTTCTCAGCAAGAACGTCGAAGGAAGATCATCGTTGAATCCTAATCTTTCACGGTCACACGTTTTTGTAGACAATTTTTAAATTAAAGTTCAAAGACAATTTTATTTGGGAAGAATATACAGCGTTGCTGTTTGGTTTCGCAAAGTTTAGTTCGCGTCCCTTCTCAATCAAATTGTAGAAAACTAATCGACTCGAAGAGTAGCTACAGAATGGGTTCTGAAAAAGATAATCGGTGGTTTTGGAATATTCGTACAGTTACATTATGCAAATACATTTTATTTCTATGCCTCCGTAAATAAATTGCGAAAACTGAACGGGTCGAACTCTTTTGTAAATAAATCTTCCTATCTTTTGCTTGCGTTCCATTAACGATTCATTATTGAAATATTATCTCAACTGGTTTGTTCGGGTTTCGCAAGACCTGTTGTTATTATACATGCTTACTTTTATTGTACAGGATATATTATTGCTATATTACACACCAGGATGCATTTTAGTCTAGATTTATCTCATGCGAATCGAGGTAATGCTCACGTTCCGCGCGCATTAAATTATATCATTCCGCGCAGCCGTGGTCATTAACACCAAACGCGAGTGCATGTACGGGCATATAAACATGATTTTTAAAAATAATAATTATAGGCGCGTTGGCCACGTGCATGGCGTGTAATTAATCCGGTGAGAGACCATACTTATCGCTTTCCCTGTTTCATTGAACAGTCGAGAGAGTTACACCGACCGGCTCATCGTTACTTAAACACTATTTGTCATTTTAGTATCTTGATCGCGCGAGGGGGAGATGATCAGGAAAATGGAACAGAAAATGCTAATGACATGGAAGGATCGGAACACTTCATTGGTACGTAATAATTGTTTACTATTAGCTGAAAATTATTACCTGACGGTTACGTTCGTCGCAACGATCGTAAAAAGATTCATTTGCGCGCGAGCCATTAAATTATCGTAAAAAGTTTGCAAATCGTTACATTATTAATTATGCTGTCAGAGCTACGTCACTGCGGGCTGTGGTTTTTCCGACCTCTTGGTAAGATAACTAATAGTTAAATTATACGTCCGCCTAATTCGAAGGAAAAACAAGAACCTATACAGTGTGGCTCATTTTAATCAATCCACTCAAATATCTCAAAACGTACAAGTTCCAGAAGAAAACTTTTCAGACAAAAGTTGTAGGGTTTTAGGTAGCGCATTACATGGCAATATCACTATGACCTTGAATAGCATTGTCAAGGTCGCGTGGAGGTCATCTTAAATTTTTTTAACGGAACTCCCTATTGTTTATTGTACTATCTTATTTTACTAATTAATATGAACGTCTTTTATCTGAAACATGTTTTGATTTGCCTAATACGTTTTGGGATATTCGAGAGAAAATTGATAACTTTTTTTCAATATTTAGCTTATGATATCTCGAATATCCCAAAAAGTATTAGGCAAATAAAAAAATGTTTCAGATAAAAGTCGTTCATATTAATTAGTAGAATAAGATAGTATAATAAACAATAGGGGGTTCCATTTAAAAAATTTAAGATGACCTCCACGTGATCTTGACAACGCTATTCAAGGTCATACCGATATCGCTGTATAATGCGTTACTTGGAACCCTACAACTTTTGTCTAAAAAGTTTTCTTCTGGAACTTGTACGTTTTGAGATACTCGAGTGGATTGATTAAAATGAGCCACCCTGTATATGATTTAACTATTAGTTAACTCACCAAGCGATTGGAACAACCAGCCCTATTTTAAAAAATTCAGAGTTGTCCTAATTAATTGTTGCTGCAAGTAAAATATTTTCAAACAATGAATAAAATTCATAAGGCTCTAATGTAAAAACACAAATACGAAGTAAGAAAGGAGTAAGAGCCAAGACAGGATGTTAGTGTCTAAATAATTTCAAAATATTTTTGTTCAATGTTCAATCTAATTATCGCTGACAACAGGTTAGCCCATTTTTAATGGACAGATATTTATCGACTTGGCTAATTATTACGAGAGAGTGCGATTCTCTTTACAATTATTTTTTATCTCATAACATGAGCCCTTGCTTTATTTCGCGACGTTAAATCCTTCATCTATCAATCAGATTTTAATCTCGAAGTTTCGGCATTCATAATTTTGTAGACCGCGTCTCTCTTAATGTTTTTCCCAATTAATTTTTACAAAGCGACTGTCTATCGTTTTCACGCTGCTGCTTGTTATAGCAATTGATAAGACAGCATTGTTGCAGGTCTTTTGCTTTTTCCTCACGTTCGTTATACTCACGTCGGCATACGATCCGGACGATGAGTCCTTGAAGGATATCCTCTTACCGGAAGGTCAGTTTGAGGCGTTTTACCTGAAAGGTACGCAAGAAGAGGAGCAAAACGCCGTGAGACCGCCCCATCTTCACGGGTCCTTTCATCAATACCGAAATCCAGCACTGGTTGACGCGCCCAACAGCGCGGCATACGGATTTCGTTTCGACGGGAAACGCCGCTTCAACTTCAGTTGAATTAACGCGAATGATTCAGAAAAAAGAAAATACAACAAAAGAACACCTAATGCTGACAGAAACATGACTGACACTTTCATCAGGAATTGCGGTTATCATTGAAATGTGAAGATCGGGAATACGTAGATGCCTGGCAGTTAGCGGTTAGAGCGATTTGCATCGTTTTGTTTAGTCAAGCGTATAAATTGAAAGTGTTTATGCATAAGAAAATTTCACTCGTATCTTTTCCTCCGGATAAAAATCGTGAATGTGGCATGACAATAACCATTTTAATAATTTAACAACAATTATTTATATAGTTGCTGCGGTTTCAAGCGAATTCCTTGATTTGTAGAGAAATAAAATATACGTTTTGCATCATCTGTGTCCTTTTTTTTAAATTAGACTCGACATCCTTTATTAATCTTGCTAAAAAATCGAATGTAAACCGCGATGAACTGACAAACTACGTTCGGATCAATTTGTCAGTCGTGTTGATATGATGATTAATGGACGACGCATTCGCTCAATTAATTTACACGGTATATTTCATGTTGGCAAAGATAGTGAATGTCGAGAATTAATGAAGCTATGTCTGACGCCATCATAAATCATTTTAGATCAGATAACAATTACAAGCTAGAATTTGCTCAATTCTAAATCGATTCTAGGTAAAAGAATATTCAAATAATTTAACACACATATTCAAAACTCGATAATACGTAATTGGTTATCTAATGTTTTGGCTATTAAAATGATTTATCTCTTATTCCTTCCAATATTGCACAAGAGAGTAATAACGTTCGTGTAATCGGTAATTAAAAAATAAAGAGTTCTTCACAGATCTCGACAGAGCTCGACGCGCGAGCTAGTAATGCATTTTTTCCCCCCACTAATCAGATTTCACTCCAATGGCAATAAATTCATGGTGGAAGCACCGTATGCTAAATGCCGCTATCTCATATTAGGAGCATATCTCATAATGGAAGACTTTCCTCTATGTTTGTCATTTAACGTTAAGCAGAGTTTAAAATTCAAAGCTTTCAAAGTCCTAAAGAAGATATTAAACATTGGAAAGTTGCAATAAAGCGATGACGCCTGTCGATTTTATTAAAAAAAAAACCGATTAAGTTCAAATTCATTAAATTCCACAATTTAAAAGGTTTGTAATCCTGAGACACTATATGTAGTACACAAAATTGAGAAAGTACGGACTAAGCGTATTCAGAGATACCGATCTTATCGGGAGGAACAATTATAAAAATTTATGTAAGACATAGTTACCTGATTATACGACCGAGCAAGACCGTTCCTACGCACTGGTTTTGATACCCGACTGGTTTATCGCGGCCGAAGGAACTGATTTGCTGCCAGATTAGATATTATTAGCCAACCCGCGTGGAATGTCGGCTCTTCGCGCATTAATCCACTTTTTTAAAAGCCCCCCCCTATAATTTATTCCGTTACCACGCCCCTTCCGTTCGCGACCATTCTCGCGATCGGATATAATTATTCGAAAGATCGAGATTTTATATGTGGAATTATATCAGAATTGCGTCTACTTCTGTGCCAATTAATTAAACGGATTTCTACCCAATTGAACAGCAATGGCGTGGAATTACTCCCCGACACCGGTAATGCGATGCGACTCTAGCGATGCAACAAACAACTTTCCACGTTTAGATGATGTTAGAAACCTAGCGCCACGCTGGAGATGGTAACATCACAAACTCACGCAATTAAAATGGCGCGTAAACGATTTTACTTTCATTAAGCCAATGGCCTTTGTTATGACTAGTTTAACTTACAATTAACGTACAGTTAAATTGCGTTAATTTGAAAAATCGGAGGATTTCAACGGCGAAGACTCTTCATTGCGCATTTGCACGATATGTGTCCGTATGCGAGTACTAGGACAGCGATGTTAAAACGCTGCGTAAATTCGTTGAGAAATATATATTTTTCTGTTACGTGTACTTATCTGCGGGTTTTCATCTCTACAATTATTCAAGATAAACGAGCCTCTGCTCTTTCAAGCAAGAATTTATTGGTAAAATCTCGTGGGTTATTAAATCGTGAAATTTAGAGAAAAGCGATGCAATGCGGATTGTGATTTACTCGACATTTATTTACGTGTTATATGAATGTCCCAGGTTTTAATGGTTAACCCGCACCGGCGTGTTTTACGGGGAAAAGTAAGATAAAAAATATATAAATTAAAGTATTAGAGGGAAGTCCTTTATTACGAGATAGGATCCTAATATGGGATAGCGGGGTTTCTGTTAAATTAACAAACATCATCAGTTGATTCCATCATAAATTTGTTGTCCTCGGAGCAAAATCTGTTTAGTTAGCAAAATCGTTGCGAGAAAAGGTTTGTGATTGAATTTGGACGTTGAAAACCTGCTATCTCATATTAGTAGACTTTCCTCTATGTAAACATAGAAGCTTTTATTAAAAAGTTACAACAGAAACGTGTACCGTAAATGAAGGAAATCTGCTCTTATCTCACATCTGGAATACAACAGTATTTCATTAACATCTTGTCGGCGATTATCGGCTTCATTACGTTCTTTATCTGAACGGCATCGATTTCGATAAAATATCAAGGAAGATATGTAGAAGCTAGCCGTGTAAAATAAATTAGTTTACAAGAGATCTTTTTCCTTGTGGCTACACACGTGGAATAGAATAGGAGCTGCAAAAGGACGAAGACAGCTGCAACCGCGAGATATCTTGCTTTAGTATGACAATAAACACGTTCGCCTACTAGTCGTAGAGATCCGATTGCAATTTAGAAACTATGCGATTTATCTCTCTCTCGCAACAATAAGGAAACATAGAAAACGAATTGCTCCCGTTACTCGCCCGGTTCTCGTGTGCGCCATAATGGCGTATGTGTTGTGGGTTCGGGATTACACGCCTAAGATGCGTTATCGAGCCCGCTTCGGCACGGACCCCGCTCTAATAGCTACGAGAGAAGCTTTAAAAGAGGTGGCCAACACTGCGGCACAACAGTCGTCTTCGCAGTAGATCGGTGAGGTGAGCGAAATTTCGTGAGCGAGCGACGATATGAGGATCACGTGTCTCATTACGGTGAGTGAGGACGGTTCAGTAACGAACGATTGTCCTCGCAGTGAGAAAAGTGAACGACGGAATTGCAATCGACGTGACTAATTGCCGAAAGAATTGTTGAAACAATACGGATCTCTCGCTAATATCGTCCGATTCCGTCAGTAATGCTTCGTTCGATAATAGTGAACATAAGGATACGTGAACGAGGGCAATTAAAAATTGTAGCTGTTTGTCAGGACATTTTTGACCAACTCTTTCTAATTCGAATTAATCACCGAGCTTGTATGCTTAATTTAATTTTGCAGAACACGACTTTGTACGCGACAAAACAGCCGGCAATTTTCAACAATACCTCAACTAAATGAAAATCTATGCGAAGGAAATCTCACTTAGCAAATCTTTCTATAAAAATTCAAATTCAATTGATGAATATCAGTAGCGCAATTACGTTATGTTTAAAAGGTCATAAAATATTTCATAAATTGTATCAACGAAATTATATCTTTATGAAATATTTCATGACTGTTCAAATGTAACGTAATTGCGCTGCTTATATAGAAAGATTTGTTAAATGACATTTTCTTCACATACGAGTACACTTTTTATTTAGTTGAGATATCGTTGAAAATTGTTGACTGTTTTGCTGTACACAAAGTTGTACTCAGCAAAATTAAATGAAATTCGAGCGGGCTTTCAACGTATTCTGCTCTTGTAATTCTTATCGTTACCTCAAATATCAGGCAAGTTCAAGCGAACTCAATTGACTTTCAATTTTCCCTTTTCTTCGAAACGAGACCCTTTAAGAAAAAATAATTTAGAATCATCTATCTTCCGTTTGTATTATATATTTTTCACCCTGTGTATATAATAAGTTACAAATTAGAAATATATATTTATTCTACATGTGCGTTTCATACATGCCTTATGTATAGGTCTGCGCGTATCTGTCATCAACAGTGTCTACTAACGAAATCCAATATTTGAATAGGTAAGTATTAATAATAGATCTTTGCAAGATATCTCCTATTTTATATTTATATTAAAAACTAAATTTTCGTCTTTGATTTAAACAAAATTTTCTGTTGTTATAATTCATAAATATTGAATAATGTATTTATATCAAATTTTGGGTCAAACGGAAAGTACGTTTCGTTTTTAGAGAAAAATAAAAGACGTTTTTTTAATTTACAACTTTATTTTATTCTACACGTGTGTTTTGTTTCTCTCCATCTTTTTAAAAACACAACACAGTTTTGATCGATAACGTTTTGTTTTTTATCGATATCTATTTAGTTCCGTCTAGAGACATCTCTTGCTAAGAATGGAACGAATTTTGCATATTTTTATTTCCAAGTAACATTCTGCTTGAGTTTTTTAACATAGAAACGACGCGTAAATATAATATTACTGACTTTTCCAGGCTAAGGAGGGCAAGGTCGCAAGAAAAGTCGGTGCTCGACAATGCCGCGGCGCGAAAAGACTCAAATCCTAACACTGGGATTCGTCCAGATATACTGCCTGCATTGCGAAGGTCTCGATTGCAGGAACAAATTGAGACTTTCCCGAAACCCTTTCACAGGAATGCCCACGAGTCTCAGCAGCCTAGTCCGCAGCAGCAACACCCCCGCGACCGCTCGAAGCGTCCAATAAAACGTCTGAAGGTTCGCTCGATCGCCGGTTCGACGTACGAGGTGGACGGCAATGAAGTCCACGAGATCCACGAGATTCACGAGCCGGTCCCCGAGGTGCACGACGAAGGGCCGATTTACATCAAGCCCGTGGTTCGCGTCACGAAGAAGAATATTTTTGACTCTATCGTAGACATACTACATCAACTGGTGTCCCCGCCCAAGAAGGAGCTGGGCCCGATAGTCGGGCCCATCAAGATGCCCGGGTCCAAGCGCAAGATCTATCTGCGCCTGTTGGAGCCGGTCGACTCAAGCCACATAAACGTACGCTTTGTAACGCAAGTGCCGGTCCCCATAGTCGACGAGGAGTCTATCTTGTCGCGGGAGCACGAGTCTGTCTTACCGTTTCTACCCTACGCCGATCCCGGCGTCGCGCTTTTGCACCGACACCCCGTCGCGTCGAGCGACGCGACGTTCAGCTCCTCCAATCGTCATCAATCGGTTCAATTGCCGCGGAACACCAGCCAGATTTCCGGCAAAGGTCGAGGGTCGCAGTCGAAACCCGCAACCAAACTGAAGCATCCTCCGGAGGATCCCAAGGACGAGGAAAAAGTGTCGCCTGTTAAAGTGGAAGCCGCGAGCGGAGCGGAAAGCGACAAAAACTACTATCAATACCAAACGGAGGGTGACGCCGTGAGACAGGTGACGGAAATAATTGAGGGCGCAACCGGAAACGAGCAAGGTGCGAAGGGTTCCTTAGAACCCTGGTATCAGCTGAGCACGCACCGTTTACCCCTTCGGCAGGTCTCGCCGCTGTACCCGCTCTCGGCGATGGGGCACGCCGATTCCGGCCCTTACGAGAGCACGTACAAGGTGCCAAGCGACAGTCTCACTGTCCCCGGCCAGTACACGAGCTCGTACGAGCAGTACGGCAGCGTCGACGCGGGAGCAGCGTCGGGATTCTACGACCAGTCGTCCTACGCCGTCCCGAACACCTATGCGACCACTCAGCAGAAGCAGAACGAGTTTAGCAACGCCCCGAGCTCTTACCCGATCTCTTATCAGAATCAGAACGAGTTTAACAACGCCCCGAGCTCCACTTCTTACGTCAAGCAGAACGATCTTTTTAGCGCTCCCACCAGCCACGCGAGCTCCTACGCGAAGCCGGCCAGCGTGCCACCGCCGTCCGGCACTTACGCGACTTCTCACGAGGCGCAGAACGCCGCCCAGGCTGGTTCCAGTTCTCAGAATGCGCTTCGTGTCATAGACCCGCCGCTTTATATCCCTGACCCTCGGCAAGTCCCGGAGGCTCACGCCAACAAAGTATTCAAACACCCCGCGACTCAGCAGCAGCCCTACAATTTACACGTGTCCAATGCCAATGAGATAGGCTTGCCACGCGACACCGCGCAGAACGGCGAGCGCCCAGCCGATCAGGTGACGTGGGGTAAAGTGAAACGAGAGAAGAGCAAGTCGAGCTTCCCGAAGGGCGAACCGAATTTCCGGAAGGACGAGTCCAATTTCCACAAGAGCGCGGAGATCACCGCCGATAACAATCGCGAGAGTTGGCAGCCACTCATGTTCGTGCCCGAGGACGCGGACTGGCACAAGGCGTTCGCCAATCTGGCGAAGGTCGCGAAGGATAAGAATCAAGACGCTAATCACCACAATGCTATCGCGAGGCAACAGTCGACCAGTCGTCCGAGACAGCTTTCGCGAAATACCACGCCCGAGAGCGCGATTGAGTCGGGGCGGGTGGATCAGCGTCAAGGCGGTAAACGCCGTCACCTCTCGGTCGCGTCTACTCGAAATTCAAGATGCCCGCCCTCGGACAAAGGGAACAGATGCGAACAAACGGAACCTACGGTCGTTTCGACGCCTCGTCCGGAAGGCAAGATTGCGAAGGGACAAACGCAGTCGGCTGCCAATCTCGAGCCGATTGTGATTGCTCCAAAACCGGTGGCGAGCAACGCGGTCGAAATGTCGAGATCGAACGTCACCGCGGAGAGCAGCTGGATAGAGGAACCGCAAGCGCTGGTAATGACGACCGAGGCTCTCGCGACGAGTAGCACGACCGAGAGACCGTCGCTGGTGATTAAGGTGATGAAGACCACGACGGAGAAGTCGATCGAGAATAAGACCACGAGTGAACCGACGACGAGTAGTGCAACAGAAAAATCGGCGGCGAGCAGCACGACGGAGAGATGGTCGACAAGCGGCACGTCGAAGGCGCCCGTGCCGCGAAATAATACGACGAAGCGGCTACAGTTGCCGAAGCGGCCTATGATAATGAAAAAGCCGACATTTGTATTGAAGAGCATGCAACCGGCTGGCACGACGAAGAGAACGGTGGTGAGCAGCACGACGCGGAAGCCGACGGCGCACAGCACGACGGAGAAAACGAAGACGACGAGGCGATCGAAATTCCAGGGTGCAATTTCGAAAATGAAATCGAGCACCACTTGATAATATGTTTGTTGATAGTACAGTTCTTTCTAGGCATAATCGACAGCGGTGGCGCGCGTTCTTATGCATTTAAATGTTGACGCATATGCGCGTTAGGGCTGTCGCGCACAAAATCGCGTAACTGTATGTCAACTAATCTCTCCCGCGAGGTCGTATCTCGATTTTACGTAATTTTCCATGTTTCTGTTTAAACGCTCATTTTGGTCCTAAATGAGCGTTTAAACAGAACAACCGGAAATTGTGTAAAATCGAGATACCTTGCCGAAAGAGATCAGTCGATGTGGCATAAGAGCATGCTATATAAATCAATATAGAAACATAATGCTCGATGCTCATTGGTTTAGACGGTTCTTACATAGCGTAACTAGTGGGTCCACTCTCTGTCGGCTCCCCTTTGATCTTTGCAGTCTCGATCACGTGGTATTCCGCCATGCACTCGGGCAGGATCCAGCGATGTGTGTGTGCGCATATGTACTTATACACAGACATAGCATATACAGGGTGTCCCAATTTAATGTCTCACCCCAAATAACTTTTTATTTTTGATCGCAGGAAAAAACGTTTCAGACAAAATATTCTATTCTAAATTTATTGCGAAAAATTTTTTTCGCAATAAATTTAGAATAGAATATTTAGACACTACCACCCTGTCACGGCTCTGAGTCCTTTAAATTCTTTGAAATTTGTATTTAACACATAAGAGCCATACTAATTTATTCCAGACAAAAGTTGTTTGGTTCGAAGGGGGACATAAGATGGTGCCATTAATTTGACCTTGACGAGTTGCTTGAAGGTCACGTAAAAATCACCTTCAATGTTTTTAATGGGACCCCCTATTGTTCATTATACTATCTTACTCTACTAATTAATATGAACAACTTTTGTTTGAAACATTTTTTTATTTGCTTAATACCCGACACAGCACGGAAAGATTGCAGGAAGATTGCAGAAATGTTACATTGCAATATTGCAGCAACGTTGCGCAACATTGCTGCAACGTTTCTGGAGGATTGCAGCAACGTTGAAATGTCCGCCCTCAGAGAGATTGCAGTGCAACATTATAGCAATGTTGCAGCGCAATATCTTTGGAATAATTTGTTGTTGTATATAAGCAGAGAATTTACTAATTACATATGCATCCGGGCCTTTTTCAATACACAGCAAGCTATTGCGAAGCAACCTAGGGAGATTATGTCGCTTCGCAATAGATGGAGATTGCGAGCAACACCGCACTGATCAAGTACTTAATAATTCGCGCATTATTGGTATCAACGAAAATAGCATTATAAAATTCTCGTAATTAGAAGAATTTTTTAAATAGAAAATATAGTATTTTTATTATTTTTGAAACATTGCTGCAATATTGCTATCGAAAGTTTGCAATTTTATATCCCTGCAATGTCTCTGCAAGATTGCACTGCAATCTGCAAGATTGCAACGTTTCTGCAATGTAACTGCAACCATCTGTGCTGTATGGGACTTTTTGAGATATTCGAGAGAAAATTTGTAACTTTTTCAATGTTTAGCTTATGACATCTCGATAACTGTTTATCGGAGGGAAAAGTAGTACGGGACTTTTTTTACTTGATTTGGTCTCAGAAATATGCTGTTGCAATAGTGTTCCAATTATTGAAAATTTTTATGTATTGTAACACACAAAATGTACATACATACACAAAAATTTTCAACTTTTAAAGTTTGTACAATGTTTTTACACGCTGTGAAGTAGGGAACGCGCAGCCTGTTCTTACTATAGATTAGTTTTCTGTTCCTGCACTGGTGAACTAGTGCAATAAATTAGAGTAAGGCGAGTATATTTTTTCTCATTCTAGCTTACTGCACTAGTTCACCAGTGCGGGAACAGAAAACAAACCTTATGTCTATGCGTACTCATCAAAGTCATACTACTACACACATAACTTTTCTCTCATTGGTCTGCCCAGAACAATGTCGGATGCGCAGAAGGGATCGACGTAAAAGAACGCAACAAATGACGGAGTGGACCTACTAGTTACACTACTACTTATGTTGCGCATAGCTATGCAATTTTGTGTGCAATAGGCCTTAGTCATGGCGGAGTACAATGATATCCGGAATAATTTGCGATTCTTCGCCCCCCCTTTTCCACGCAAAATGTCGTCCGCACGTATTTGCGTGTATTACCATATATGTATATGTATATGCGTTTATATCTCGCATGACAGATACAATAGATTAAGATAATCTATGCGCTGAGAGATCGAGCTAGTGCTACGTGCTTTCTTTTGTCTGCTTCCAAAATTATGGGTCTATTCATGTAAAAATGCTCTCTGTAACGCTGTATCTCTATAAGCTATGCGGCACTGTAGAGTAAGAGAGAAAGAGCGAAAAGAAGAAACAGCTAAAGAGCTGGAGAGTTACGAAGCTTACGGTACGAAAATATTCTTACAGAATACAGAGCTGTCGTCGAGTCATTCGCGGAATCTAAAGAGAAATATTCTACGGGGTAGCTAAGGATAATTATTTTCGAGGGAAACGGGTTTGGGCACTGATCGTTTGCGAAACAAAAGTGGCTACATGTTCATTTTATATTGAACGTAAAGGACTGAGAGGTGCATTAATATTTGTATTTGGCAAGAAATCCCATTACAGCGTTTGTCGCTGAAAACTATATGCGTTATTTATCTTACCGTTTTTATTTACGCAGTACATAGAATACAGATTGTCTCCGAATGATTAACATTTTCTAAAATGCGCAAATTAATAGCTCCGCCGATTAATTGAAACTTGATATAAACTTTGCTTGAAGTTAAACGAGAGTTAAATAAAAGATGTCGTTATCTAATCGAATCTCTTCCGTTCAATGCTCTTAACCGAGAGGATTTGAATCGAATTAGAAATAAGAATCAAAGTAATAAACGAATCTACACAGATAAAAGGCACAGCCATACTTCTGAGTCATCGTATACATATTAAATTGATAACATTGTTAATAAACTTGGTTCTTCAAAGCTTCGTCAATTTGTTTATATGTATACTGTATATTTTTTTGTTGTACTATTTCTAAGTTGTACATAAATAAATAGATTCTTGTATGATACGTTTGTACCTAATTTGCTCAACATTGAAACATTTATCACGTAAATAAAAAAAGAAGTAATAAACAGTACTTTACTTTCAGTTTGCCCTAATTTCTAATTGGAGCTACGTTACATTTTGCATGACGAATGGGAAAGTGATATGGACAATGTAGGTGTTATTATTGCTAAACTATACTTACGGATCCACTTAAGATAGGATGCGCAGTATTAGAAAGTTTAGATATACGTTTTAGATACATTTATAATAATTTATTGTTCAATGTGTTTATATTAACACCTTCATGATGAAAGTAAGATTAATAATTTCGCAAATAACAGTTTAGTGAAAATATTATTACGAAAATGTGTACCCTATAAAAATCCGGCGGATTTTACATATTTCATTCAGGTCAATCAGCAATAATTTTATTTATCTTTTTAATTTTATATCATTTGCGTGGATTCGCACCACTAAGATTTGCCTTGCCTATAAAACTTGTAAGTGTTCCTTGAATGAATTTGTTTTAGCGAATAATACTAAAAGCAACATGGGTTTAACATACTTGATAACGCTATGACTAATAAGACAAATTGAACAGAAAAGAATTTCTCAGTTGAAGAGATGAAAAATTCGTAACATGAGAAAGAGAGCTAGAAAAAGGAAACCGAGTGTAAACTGTTATAACATCTACAATAATTGTAACTCTTCATTAAGTGCTCGTCCACAGCGAGACGTGTTCGGCACAGTAAAAAGAGGCGCGTACGAGTAGGAAAAACGCGATAATGCACTTTCCAAGTAACAGTCACGGCCCTTGCATCGATCGTTGAACGGTTTTCCATCCTAGAGACTAACGTACCCGTGAAATCAACATGGTCGGCGATTATGATCAGGATCGCCGAGGCAGTCACGCCGCGGCGATCTTTTATATTCCCTTTCTTCTTTTTCTTCAGCCGCTGGAAAACGCGAGCGCACTGCTAATCGCAGAAGCATGTTTGTATAATGTATACACGTGTGTGGGCGGAATTTCTTGTACTGTTCGCGGCACTATGCCGATTTCACTTTTAACTCTTATACGCATGTGATTAGGTGAATTAATTTGTTGCTTGCGCGTCTTGCACCTTCAAGATGTCACGACTCGAAGAGAGGGACGCTTCGATACACAATTCACTGCCACGTTGCTTGCAATTAGGAAAATTAACGAATTTAATGAATAATTAATTCAATTTTTCCATTTATACAATATTTTTCTTTATTTCCCTTGATTTTTTCTTAAGATGACCCTCCGGTTTAGAATACAATACTGTGAATGTCTTCAACTAATATTTATTATTTCACAATTTTTTACTGCGTAATTCATAATCATAAACTATGAATTATATATTTTTGTCTCATTCTACGATTTAGGCTACACTACATTCTATTGTCGTGCTTCAAATCTTTATCCTTTGCACTCTTTCGTTTAATTACATCTATTTTCATATCCGTCTTAATATTCTACTTTATTTCTATTATCGGATCCTTTCCTTTTCTTTTCTATCTCCTCTATAACTTCTGTACTTTTTCTCCTACATCTATAAATTCATCCATTTGCATATCAGCTCTAGTTACTCTTTCCTAAATACATAATTCTCTACTGCACTCTTATGCTCTAGATACACTATCTTCTTCTTCGTATCTGCATAATAATGCAATTAGAATGCATTTTCACAATGAATCAGAGAGTTATTGTCTCATCAATAAAGCTACATACACATATGTATAATATATTAATAAAATTACACCCAGTGAGAAATGATTCGTCGACCGACGTCGAAGCGACGTCGAATCGACATCGACACCGTCGAATTGACGTCGATTCGACATCATTTCGACATCGATCAACGAATCATTTCTCACTGGGCATTGTTTTCTTTTCGTGCGAGTAATATCGGCATTAAATGTGTGATTTTGAAACCAATATATCGCAATTAATATATTCCTTGGTAGAGATTAAAATAAATAAACACGTAAATATATACATATATATATAAATTTTACAATAAAAATGCTACAACGCTTTTTGCGTTATAAGCAGTTTCGCCTTTACGTGTAAAAATGTGTGGGAAATCATTGGGATGAATCCAGTAAAAGAATTGTTTTGTGATATTTTAGAGCGATAAATATAAGTGATAGTGATGAATGCACGTTGGGCGGAGCTTCGTGGAATATTTTGTGTAGAGATTCACCTCGCTAGTTACTGGTTGCACTATATATACGTTCGCTTTATAGCTACGCGATGCTCAGAAGATATCTCTCAGTTGACCAAAGTGTTTCGAGAAAAGCCTTACAGAAGCGGATTGTGAGTTTACCACAATGAGGAACAAATTCCTGGTGAGATACGTTTATTAGAACATTAATTTGTTATTATATTTAAATTTCAGGTTAAATTTTGTATTTAACAAAAGATACGATTCGTTTTATTTTACTTTAAGTTAACTTTGCTATTTGATTTGAAATAAATGTGATGTAATAATTTGTTTGATATCAACTTTATAACTAATTTTAGTTCAATGTTCGATTTTACAATTAATTTTTCCTTTAATCCAGAAGAGTTTGTATAATAGCGAGATAACTGTACATATTAATAATATTATATATTGTATAATAATTTAAATTATTTTTGTTTGTTGCAGTACACTATGTTGTTCTTTATAACTTTTGCGCTGATACACCAATCGATCGAATCGTGAGTATTTACAGTCGAGTATGTTAAGAAACATAAGTGTGCAAATATTATATAATAAGCAAATACGTGAAATATTTGTAGAACCGTTATATTTGATTTGTTTTTTTTAGGAAGAAAGTGGTGATACACGTCCCTTATCGGGTGAAGAATGTGAAACATACGCACACGATCTACAAGATAGTTGCACACCATCGCGAAGGGAAACACAAAAGTGATGAAGAATACTACGACGATTATTAAATACGTGTATTTTTATAGGTTATAACATTGTAGTAATTAATGCAGCGGCATAGCAAATCCAAAGAAAACAGGAAATTAGATTAAGTACAACGTACGTAGCGGCTTTCTGTCATTTTATACCATGTAGTATAGCGCGTAATGTCTCTTTTATAAATAAAATGACATGTGAATTCAGGATTGCTTTTCGTTATACCTTCCCAACAAATACGAAATTGCGATTGTTCTTGATGTCCAAATACCGCATTTTTTTCGAGAGTCTGGAAAACAAGACTTAATAATCTTTAAAAGAAATACACGATCACGAAATTAAATTGTAAACTCTATTTCCATCTCCTTCAAGTTTACACTTTTAAATCATTGATGTTAGATTGTTTTTAAGCGCATTTGTTTTGTATACTTTTAATATTCCTATAATTTAAACGTAATACTGAAGTTTATTTGTTGTGTGTATCTGTACACGGAAAGAATTTTATCTTGAAAATCACGTGATCGTGGGACAACATGGTATTTTGGAGAACTTTCCGAGTTTTTTCAAATTTTACCATACATTTCACTAGTAAAATGGATACTAAATAGAATTATTATACTAGTGAAATGTATGGTACAATTTGAAAAAACTCGCATAAAATTCTTTGAAATGTCGTGTTGTTCCACGATTATATAATTTTGAGGATAAATTTTAAAAGAAAATTCTCTCTGTGTACACATATGCTTTATCTTGAACATCGTGATTATTATTTTATATAATTTTATTTGGATTACTGTAATAATTATGATATTGATTGAAATGATTGATCAATCAATGTTTAATATTTTTCCTCTTCAACGATGTATAACATTTGAAGTAATAATGACCACTTTAAACGTATATTTGTTTCCGTTATTTAACAAAGCGTAACATAAATTGGTTTTTAATATGAATAAAATTATATTGTAAAAATACGAGACAACATTATTTCAATTTTTAATTATTATACACAATAATAAATTAAAGTTTCTGAGTGATATTTCTCGCAATAAATGAAAAATATGAAATATTTAGACATTAACACCCTGTCACGGCTCTCAGTCCTTTATTCCTTCAAATTTGTGTTTATCGCATTTGAGCCACACGAATTTTAATAAATTAAAGTTTCTTTTTATTATAATTTAAAAATATCAAACAATGTTGCGGTTATTTTCTCAATAGAGTAAAATATCAGACAAAACAAATAATTTTTCCACGACACTGAACTTGGCCGGACTATTTTCATGGTTTATTGACCCCGTAATTTCTAAAGCCGCATCAGTTACGGATCGGCAGATGAAGCATATCACCGGAAAGATACAGCGAAAGTGATCATCAGCCGTGAACTGCATCACGGTATTGTATCGCTTTGCAAGATTCGCTTCGATGAAACGAAGATGGCATATAAATGGCGATTCGCTGTCAGTGATATCAAACGACAATTGGCTGCCAACAATCGCGTTTGCGATCGCGGTTACGACGACTCGACAATAAATCATGGTAATAACATTGATAGTCAACACCAAAGTGAATAATATTGGGAAGCGATTTTTACATCTATAAAAAGTTTACGTTTAAGTTATAAATATAATATATTTACGTTACTCAAATATTTGAGTAAGAAAGAAGAATTTCAAAATACATCGAACTCTGCACGGCTATTCACGAGTACCGTAATTAGTGATCGAGTATTACACCGTTACGTGTGCGTGCATCGTTCTTGTAAACGCGATTTAAATCAACGAGAGATCGTAGATATTGGTATAACGGAATCGTGACCAACATGAATATTGCCGATTAATTCAGAAAGCACGTATGGGCGATCAAAGTGTAACGACCGCGACTTTATATTTCAGAGGATCATTATCAGTCTGCTTTTCATTCTGTCGAACGGGGCGTTCAACAGCGGAAGCGCCAAGGAGCAGTGAGTATGCAACGGTACCATGTTATTAGATAATTTCATCTACTTCGCATGGAATTGCCTCGAAAGATGCTCGGCGTTGAACGTGATTGCAGAAATTCACGCTTTCTTGTAGAGAAAATCATAGTTCACACTTACTCTCGTTCTTACTTGTTGGCAAATTGAAATTGTCGTATACACATTACATCGTCTTATTAATTGCCCTGCTATATTTATTAACGTGCTATCACTCGAGGTGCATATTTTTCGGGCTCCCCTGATTGATTACTCAGGTCAACACGAATTTTGACTTTGATAAGAGAGTATG